ATTCGGTAACATGCTGGCAGATTCAAGACAGAGTATTCTCAACACAGTTTCAGGTTTAGTTAAAAATTTGTATAAATTCGTAGAAAGCTCAAAAATTGTTTCCAAAAATTTTTGGATAAACTAGACATCATTATCAACAACTTTGTAGAAGAAATCATCTCGAAATTCTGAGTATAAAATTGTCTAAAAATTCGGGTAACATGCTGGCAGATTCAAGACAGAATATTCTCAACACAGTTTCAGGTTTAGTTAAAAATTTGTATAAATTCGTAGAAAGCTCAAACATTATTTCCAAAAATTTCTGGATAAACTAGACATCATTATCAACAACTTTGTAGAAGAAATCATCTCGAAATTCTGAGTATAAAATTGTCTAAAAATTCGGGTAACATGCTGGCAGATTCAAGACAGAGTATTCTCAACACAGTTTCAGGTTTAGTTAAAAATTTGAATAAATTCGTAGAAAGCTCAAAAATTGTTTCCAAAAATTTTTGGATAAACTAGACATCATTATCAACAACTTTGTAGAAGAAATCATCTCAAAATTCTGAGTATAAAATTGTCTAAAAATTCGGGTAACGTGCTGGCAGATTCAAGACAGATTATTCTCAACACCGTTTCAGATTTAGTTAAAAATTTGTATAAATTTGTAGAAAGCTCAAAAATTGTTTCCAAAAATTTCTGGATAAGCTAGACATCATTATCAACAACTTTGTAGAAGAAATCATCTCAAAATTCTGAGTATAAAATTGTCTAAAAATTCGAGTAACATGCTGGCAGATTCAAGACAGATTATTCTCAACACAGTTTTAGACAATGTATCAAATGTACATAATTGGAAAAATTTCAATTATATAAAAAAAATTAGAGGGTTGAGAGGGTTTTCTTACTTAGTAGTAGGATTGAAATGGAATAATGAAATGGTAGGAAAATATGCAACCTCAACCTCCTCCTCTTCTTCTACAAGAATTCCCTCTATTTGGATGTATATGGTTTATGCTTAGCCTTCAAAATGTGCATGACACTAGGTGCATTTTATAGATCTTCTCCGAGGCTAGCTCTCTCTCCCTCCCTCCCTCCCTCTCACACATTCTTTTCATTAATAAATCCATCCACTTTCTCCAAGTTCTAAGAAATGTTGCTTTCACTAAATTTTATGG